CGCTCCCCCTCCTGCGGACTCTGTCTCTCTCTGTCTCTCTCTGTCTCTCTGTCTCTCTGTCTCTCTGTCTGTCTTCCTAGTTGCACATGCCTGCCTGTCTCCTGTCTTCTCAATGTTCTCACATGGCAGAAGGGGCGAAGGAGCTCTCTGGGGTCTCTTTTATAAGAGTACTAATGCCCTTCATGAATATTCCTTCCTCATGACCTAATCACCTCCCAAAGGTCCCATATCCAGATACCATCATATAGGATGTTAGGATTTAACATATGAATTTGGGGGAACACATTCAGTCTATAACACATTCCGACAGCCATTCTTTGTCTTTGACATGGATGGTTTTGAAGACCCCCCCCCTTCTTTTTTTTAATAGAATCTTTCTCATTTTGTGTTTTTCTAACATCTACTTTGGATTAAATGAGGTTATACATTCTCAGCTGGACAGCATAGGCGATGTTTAATTTTGGTCACCTGGTCAAGGCATTGCCTCATTTCCCCACTGTATAATTTTTCCCTCCATATAACTAGTAAGCAGTCAGTGGGGAGACACTTTAAGACCATGCAGATATCCTGTTATTCTTCTTAACTTGCCCTGGATTTAGTATCCATTGATAATTCTTATTCACTTCCATTTTTACTGTAATGGTTGCAAAATGATGGTTTTCCAACTCCAGCACCCATTTCACATTTATCAGTTGGCCCTTGGAATTCTACTGTAACCAAGAGAAATCTGATCATCTCTCCATCCGTCCATCCGTCCATCCATCCATCCATCCATCCATCCATTCATTATTGGCATGGACTCAGTAATTCCCATTTTTCCCAGTAGTTTGTAATTTATTACCATGTCTAATTTTTTTGATGTTCGAATTGTGTAAGATTTGGCCAGTGGGAGTGTCTTCCAGCAGGTAGCCATGTCCTTGTGACATGTCACCATCATGTTTTGTTGATTAGTTCTGTACTTTCTAGATGCTCCAGATTCATTTTACTTTACCTGCACTTGCCCTGGAATCAGTCATTTTTCTAAGGAGGCCTGGTTCCTTACATGAGGGAATGGTCTTAAAGACCAAGATCTGAGTGCTTGGTGTGCTAGAGGTATCTCTGCCTCTTGACTGAGGGCAGTTTTTACAGTCTCCAGAGTAGAGATAACTTTGACCCTTCCCTGACGTATATCACCCAGCCTTTTCAAAGTCACTTCTTGACATTTCCCTGTACTTTGTGACCAGGATATTTATTAGCAAGGAAACCATCCTTCCCTTGTTGCCAAATTCCCTTCCTATTCAACTATAATTTTAGCTTTTTGTTCTTTCTTTCAACTGTCAGCCTCAGTTTTCGTGGCTGCTTTTGGTAAAAGGGAATGTGAAACAGCAATCAGATCCTACTTAGAGATTCTCTGCAATTTCATGTTTTCACTGTTACCTTAGGTGGACACTGTAATGAATTAACATGCCCTTGGTCAGAAGCCCCAAATGCATATTTTCCCATTCCACATTTTCACACTGTTATAGACTGAATATTTGTGTTCCCTCGAAATCATATGTTGAGACCTATTTGCCCACCGTGATGATATTAGGAGGTGAGGCCTTTGCAAGGCAATTAAGTCATGAGGGTGAGCCCAGTGAATGGGATTAGTACTTCATAAAAGAGACCCAGAGAGCTCTCTCATTTCTTTCTTCACCTGAGGACATGGGAAAAGAGGGCTATCTATGAACCAGGAAGCTCTCACCAGACACTAAATCTGCTGACACCTTGATCATGAACTTCTAGCCTCCAAAACCATGAGAACTAAATTTCTGTTGTTTATCAAATTCCAGTCTGTGATATTTTTGTTATAGCAACCCAAATGGACTGAGACACACACTAACCTGAAACAGACATCTGCACCATTGCTTATCTGTGGGTAGGTCTTCAGTACCCTCTTAGGTGTAGCTTACTGAGCCCCACTTGTTACCCCAGCCAACCTGCTGGCACCACTGTCCTCTCAGGTGGTTCCCAGTGCTGCTGCTGAAATCACACCTTCCCCATGCTTTCCTTCATGAGCTTGCTTCTCCCCTCTACTGAGAAGAGAAGAAAAGCTTCTGTATGTCCAGAGTGCTCAGACCCTCTGTGCTGCAGTGTATGGGCAGCAGGCCTGTTGCCTTTCCTGGATGGTACAGTAGCACCCTATAATCGCCTCGGCATCCACAGGCACCCCAAATAAACATGCATGCCACGTGAACACGGAGAGGCCTCCTGGCTCCCCGGCCCCACCAGTCATCCCTGAGTAGACAGGCTGGGCCCATGGCTGGTACCCAGGATGGCTCACATCACACTGGTCAGTTATAACTGGCCATGCCCCTTCATGTGTCCTGACAGCAGAGAAATCTATGCTCACCATGGCACCTAAAAGAACCTGTTTTCTGTCACTCCTGAATTTTCAGGGCTTGTATATGCTTTCAGAATAACCACTTGGGGTAGCAGAAAGAACCGCAAAGACAGCAGGGCATTGGATAGAAATGATTCTCTAGACCAACACTATCCAGTAAAAATGCGAGTTGCACATGTAATTTTAAGTTTTCCAGTAGACACTTTACAAATGTAAAAAACATAGGTGACATTAACTTTAATATATTTTATTTAATCCAACATCACAATGTTATCATTTTAGCATATAATCGATATAAACAAATTTTTAATAAGATATTTTACATCCCTTTTTTGGAATCGAGTCTTTGAATTCCAGTGTAGATTTTATGCTACAGGACACTTCAATTCGGATTGACCACAGCTAGAGGTCCAGTAGCCCATGTGGTAAGTGCTGCCAGCCTGGATATCGCAGGTCTAGAAAAACAGTGACTGCAGGCCAAGTCAGGAACTATGGGTGCATGCTCCACTCTGGGACTTGCCCTTCCTTCTGGGATGGAGCTGCTCCCTCCATGGGGGAAACTACTAGCATATTTACCCAAGAGTTTCTTAATGAGGTACAATGACTCTGCATAACTCTGTGTTGCATCCAAGATCTGCAGAGCCTGTCCCTTCTCCCACATAGCCTAGAACCGCCAGGGAGAGGCTCCTCCTCCAGGGGGAGATGTGGTGACAGGCCAGGCACTAGCCTCCAGAATGTTTTTGGGAAGATTAGGTTTATTTAATGAGAACTGCCTGGAGAGAAAATTCAAATAGGATTAGAAATCAGAGCAGGAAAATCGAGCTCCGTGAGTGTGCTGTGTCTGGGACCTAAAGTCCTCTGTGTGGCCTTGGCTGGTTTCGGCTTGCCCCAGGGTGAGTGTCCCAAAAGAAAAAGACAGTAGAACCTGTGCCTTTGGAAGGTATGGCGTCACTTCTGCTGTCTTCCAGCTCGGGTAGTCACCAGTCTGCCCGCAGTCATGAGTGGACATGGCAACGTGCACAGATGTGGTGCAGGCTGTGGATCATCTGGGAAAGTTGTCTGTAAACTCTACCCTTTCTAGCCCTTTAAAAATCAGATGACTGAGTGTGCTTGCTAAGATATATTTCATTCAAATCTGGTCAAAGTTACACTTATTGTAATAGAGACCCTTCCTCTTATGTTTCCATGCCCCTACAAGTACCTTTCTTTTCCTGATATGCTTACCCAACCACCTTCCTTTCTGTTTGACGTGACCATCTCTGCTTTGTGGCTTTTGATCTGAGGCACGTGGTATCCTCTTTGGTAGTCAGTAGCTGCAGAACCCTTTGCAAATTCAGCAGCAGCTAAGAACTCCAGAACATGTTCCAGGTCACGTCCTAGGGTGTCGCCTTGCACCCACGTTGTAGCATTACTGTGGTTTTAAACAGAGCACCTGCAGCTTCAGGTGTTGACAGTGCTCTATATTTTCTACATTTCTTCCACTCAACTTTTTTTTTTTTTTATCCTGAGCCCCTTCAGTATATCCAGTGATAGCGAGTGGAGCCAGGCATAAGAAAGTCAAGAGATGACCCCTGCTTTTGTTTCACTTACCATGTAGTTAGGAACATAGGATGCAGCTTAAGTATTTATTCTGCAGCAAGCTTAGCTGCTCCCTGGGTAGCCCAGTTTCCACACCAGTGGCTCCTCAGGCTGAGTGGCCACAGCAGCTGGAGGAGGTGTCTGGCTGTGCCCCACAGGACCTGCAGGACCGCAGTGATGAGTTACAGGCTGCGCTGGAGAGCCTGCAGGCACAATTGCCCCAGAGTTGGCGTAGCCAGACCAATGCACAGCCAAATGGACAGCTGTTCCCTAGACATGGTCGAGCAGGTAAGAGTCCAGTCCCGGGAAGTGGTGGTGGTGTGTACCTCCTGGGGGCGGTGGGGGCTGGTGGCAATGAGCATCTGCATACTCTGCAGCACAGGCTTCTTTCGGTCTAGGGAGTGCAGCAGCAGGTGGGCCAGCTTCACAGCACCTCAGGGCCTAGCCCAGCCTCCAAGTGGTCACAAGCCCCTCAAACTGCCACATGCAGGAGAAGGGCCTGTAACCCACGGCCAGAAGTTGACACAAAACCCAGAGCCCAGAGAGAGGTTGAGGAGGGTAAGGGTTTTACCATTTGGGTAGAAATGGTAAAGGTGAGGATGACCTTGCCATGACTGCAGTGTAGATGCATTCAGATGACCCTCCTGTGTGGGATGGGGATCCAGGGGGTCCAGGTGAGTGGTCAGCATGGGCCAGACACACAGACAGCATCTAGAGAAGGGAAGAGGGGGGAGGCTGGGGGTGAGCAGGGGCTGGTCTCGGGTCTGTGACTGCTTTTACAAAGAGAAGGAAGGCAGCACTCAATTGTCTAAATGGGTCAGGGACTCCCTGGTATTCACAGAGGCCAGGTGTGGACCAAGGCAGACCAGGGGTGGTGTTTACTGCCTGAGTGATGTGGATGATATCACCCTCATGCTCTGAGGTGAGGCCGTGATACCAGAAGGTGCACCTGCCCACTCGAAGTAGAGCTGCATGCTGAAGATAGGACTTGAGAAAGACCAGGGCTTCCTGCTTCGTAATCCAGCCCACAGATTAGGGTCAAGCTCCAGGCTCTGAGAGGCCCTGAGGCCCTGTGTTTACGTGTTCTTGGCTCTTTATAGAGACTAGAGCAGGGATTCATATGCCATAGCTGTTTTTGAGGTTTCTGTGGTTCTTTTGGAGGACATTGTGGTTTGGGCTGGTTAATACCCTTCCTGGCAGTTGTACAGGGCAGGTGCTATGTGGATTCACATGATGCACATGGCTTCATGCCTGCCATCGCCAGTGGAGGACATGGGGACCACGGGACTGCCACAGCAGCCTGACTGCCTCCATCGATCACACATCACAATGGCCACACCCCCTCAGAGAACATTCTTGCTCTCATTTGTAACCCTGAGATCACTTGGGGTTTCCCATGTTTCTTGGGAAAAGCTTATTTAATAAAACAGAAAAAAAGTGTACTTAAGAGAGCCAATGTGGGGACCTCCATAGGAACCATGTGGGTTTTATGTACATTTGAGTCCACCTTCCTTGGTCCCTGAGGGAACCCTCTCACCTGGGTTCTGTCATGGAATCTCATGGCTCCTGAGAAAAACAGCCCTGATTTCCGTCAGCTGAGAGTTGTTGGGGTATGACTGGCGTGTCAGATGTTACCAGATACCCGGATAAGTTGTAATGAGTGGACAGGTAGGCATCATGGGTGGCCACAGGGAAGGGGATGCTTGTTACCTTCTTTGTCCCTGGAAGGTCTTAGGCTGTAGTACCAGAAGCACCCCCATGCTTTATGTTATCACTGATAAAACTAAAGCTATCTCCCAGCTAGGGCCTTTTCTCTTCTCCTTCACCCCTCCATTGGCCCCCTCAGAGGAAGAGGGTTCTGTCTGCTGCTGGAGGGAATGATCACGATGGGGGAGTTACTATGGAGGGGGCCATGTGGATTGTGGCAGCCAGCCTGTCAGTGCATCCAGCTGGAGCCATTTCTGATGGGTGCCAGTTTACCTGGGCCCATTGGCCAGACCCGTATGGTAGCTTCTGGTTGTCAAGGCAATAGGATGCCTTTTTTCCTTAGATGCTTATCCTGAGTTCTCTCGGCCCCAATGTCCCTGAGTCTGTCACTTTTATTCATGGAAAATAATTTGGGAACTGGAAGATGGTAAGATTTAGGGGCTGTGTATTTTCCTCTCACTTTCGCGGCCCCTGAATCAGCACAGATGAAACCCTAGCAGTGGCCAAAACCCACATTCTGAGTCAACCCTTTGGCATGCCCCTAACGTGTACAATGTTGGTTACACCTGGCATCCCATGAGGGCTGGTGGAGCTTGTGGGCCCACAGGGCCCTCATCTAAATGAGCTGCCCAGATATCTGATACTGTTAGTGAAGAGAATCTTCTGGAACAAAATGTGGCTTCTCGTGATCTCTCAGAATCTTCACTCCACAAGAACTTCACTCCATGCCTGACTTATTTATTGAAATCTCACATTATTTGTATGATGTACATGCCTCATCATAAAACACTGTCTGTCACAAGGATTTGTCTGTGCTACCAGTCACACTTTTCTCTGTCTTCCCAGTTCCTCTGTGTACCTGGGTCAGACAACACAATTTAGGGCATAATAACTGTACCACGTATAGCATCTTTTAGGGAATTAAAGTGCCTGGCAGATCTTGCATCGAACCTCCTGGTTATATCTTGGGGTAATCTGTGTTCTGGCAAAGACTTGAAATACTGATTCGAGAATGGGGTATAACAGACTATGGAAACTTTCAAGGGCCGTGCCTTCCTGCCAACACCAAGTTCTCTCAGAAGGTGCCTGTGGAAGGTTGTGCATTGTTGTGGTGGTTGAGGAAAGCTGGGATGAATAATCAGTGCCATCCAAATGTCATATGGGAGGGTTGGAAACAGACTCCATGGTGTCCTTGGCATAAGGACATAAGCAGAAATGTTCTCATTTGCAGGCATCATCTCCTTTGTGGGTGATTCCACTCCAGTGAGTATAGAAACGGAGATAATGATGGAGCAGGTGAAGGAACATTACCAAGATCTCAAGATCCAGCTGGAGACCAAGGTTGGGGGAATGAGGGAGGCTACAGGGAGATTCGGGTGCTTCCTGCTGCATGCCAGAAAGCTTCACTCACACTGTGCTGATGGTTCTGTATGCACATGTCTGCCCGCAGATCCCCTACTCTGTAGTAAGCCTGCTCAAAGGAAGAAAGTTTGTAAGGAAAGGAAAATAAAATTGACATTCAACCTCAAGCCCTCTTTTGAGGAAGGTGGGACATAAGGAATAACTAATAATGAGAGAGAATAGGGTTGTTTGTCTGGAGTGTCACAGGGTTACTGCTGAGGCCAGACCTCTCTGCTTGTTCTGCCATTGGGGAATCATAGCTCCCAGCTTTGTTCAAAGATGAAATGGCTCCGGGCGTTGCCCTTGCTGGGGTACTCCATGGCTTCGTGGCCAGGAGCTCCCTGGCCAAATCTGTCTTCTCAGTTGAATGTGTCTCCTGCTCTGATATTGGATTGTGGTCGGTTTTGTTAAAGGACAGTGACCATGACTTGTTATCAGGGACCAGATGTCTCAGTCTGAATAGCAGTGAGTCAGGGCCACCTCTGTCTTACAGTCATCCCCTTGGGTTCCCTGGATGCACTAGCTGGAAGCTTCTGCAGTAACCTTGCCCCTGTGGCTAGATAGTATTCATTCACACCAGGGCCGCCAGAGTGTTCAGAGCTTCCCCGCTGGGCTTTTGAAGGCTTGTCACACAGCCTTTCTTTGCTGCTTGGCCAGGCAAGTAGCCCAGCTGGTCCCCAGCCTCTCTTCCCCACCTAAGGGAGCTGTCTCAGAGGGCTGATGGAAGGTTATGGGGATAACTAAAGCCTGCAGCCACCTGGGCACTTGGGGAGCCTTGAATATCATGGGCATGGCTGTCCCCTGCACCTCATTAGGTCTGACCCACCCACTCTTTGGCTATCCCACCTGGCAGTGTCATACTTCTTTGTTGTAGTGTCAGTAAGTCATTTTGAGAACCTCCTTATTGACATTGCTCATATTTCTCTTCTCAGGTAAATTACTATGAAAGGGAAATTGAGGTGATAAAAAGGGACTTTGCAAAGGAGAAAAAGGAAATGGAGCAGACTTTCAGGCTTGAGTTCAGTGTGCTGGAGGATCAGAAAGCCGACCTGGAGTCACTCCATGTGAAATCTCAGGAGGTCATTAAAGGCCTGCAAGACCAGCTCCAGAGTGCAGCCCACGGTCCTGAGCTGGAGAGGAAGTTCGACCTGGAGAGGGTGGAGATGGAGCAGCGCTACACACAGGCACTATCTGGCCTGGCCCAGCAGCTGGCCCAGGAGAAGGACCAGCTGGAGGAGGAGCTGCACCAGAGGCATCAGCACGAGCTACAGCAGATCAGGTCCAGTGCCACTTCCTTTCAGGATTTCACGTCTCTGGTTTCTTGCCAGGAACCAAAATTTAAAGTTGGTTTAGGCAAACTGTTCAGAGTGGTTTTCTTAAAGCACATGGGTGAGCACTGAAAGAATAGGCCATCGTAAAAGGATTTTTACTTTAAATTTAAAACATATATTAACTAGAGCTTAGGGATGAACCAATTTACTTTATAGAATTTTAACTCTCTGTTTTCACCTTCTGCCTCAGACTTTCTGGTAGCAAAGGAGAATATGTTCTTCATCATTTAATAACTTGTTCTAATTTTCTGGGATGTGGTGTTATAGCACATGGGGAAATAGATAAAAGATTTAAAAGCCCTAACACATTGGGAAGGACCATTAATTGGGGTTGGTGAGATTCTTTAAAAGGCTAAAATGTATGAACAAGGGAATGAAAAGGTTTATTTGGTCTTTCGTGTCCTATAGTATCATGGTTACATGAGAAATACCCCCATGCCTATTCCTTTTCGAATAGATATGACTTAGTAATGTAACTAGTTATGGCAGGGGCAGTGCTGGTCAGCTAGCCCCTTCCTGTACCACGTAGAATCTTGAATTCTCCCCATCTCAGGAGACGATGGTCACACCCCATATGTGTTGGCCCAGGACTGAGCTGACAGTTCACAGGTAAGGGGCCCACTGCACACCTGCAATCTTCACAGAGGGCCTCTGTGTGGACTTGGCCAGATTCTGATGTTGTTACTGAGTAGATATGGCCCCAATCACTACACTAAAAGCAGGATGTCAAGTGACTTTCCTGTGGAGGTCATGCCCTCTGACTTGAGTGAGGTGGGCGCTCCCTTTCCTTGTCATGAGGATTGGGGGTGATCTGAATCCAGGGAGGTGCTGAGAAAGAATAAGATGTCCCAGTCTGCGCCTTTGCTCCTTTCCTCCCTGTGTTCCAAATGACATCCTCTGGGGATTGCAGGAACTGACTGACATTTACCTGGAGATAAGTCATTTTTAAGTCATGTGCTTCTCCTGAGCTTCGTTATTTTCTCTGACCCCAAGAAATCTGTGATAAGGGACTGGACCAAAGCTCCCTCTAGATTCAGCAGAGGGACAGGTACAAGGTGGCCCCCTCCTGCCTGTCCCTAGCTTCTCGGGCCCTGGAAGCCTTGGCCTTTGTTGAGAGGATATTCTCCCTCTGCTCATAGTCCCCTTTTAGCTTGAAGGTAGAGCCCCATCTGGCTCAGGCTATCTGTGGACAGGAGCAGAGAACATACCGTCCCAGGCTCAGTGCCCTCATGCAGCCCTTACCTCAACTGTGACTCCATTCTCCCAGGGCTTCCAAGGCCCCAGTTCCACCAACTTACAGGGTTTTCAAGGGCAGTTTTGACTATGGGTGAATTTCACTCATCTTACTAAAACACTAGGCCAGTGCTATCCTTAGAACTTTCTGTGATGAGAGGCATCCCTGTGTCTGCTGTGTCCATTATGGCAGCCACCAGCCACATTTGGCTAGTGCGACTAAGGTGCTGAGTTTTAATTCTGTTTGCTTTTAATCAGCTAATATTTAACAGTTACATGTGTGTGTGGCTTCCACGTTGGCTTCTGTATATGGAAGCCAATCTCACTGAGGGCCAGTCCTCCAGTGGCCTCTTTAAGGAAGGTCCTAGGGCATGGGTGGAAGTGCAGGAGCCATGGGAGTGAGAGAGGAAAAAGCAGAGGAGGTCCATGGTTAGAATAAGAAAAGCCCATGTGGCTTTTCTAAGGTCTTGGGCTTAGAGCTGCAGCCTGCAGTGCCTGTGACTCATTCTGTTTCTGTAGGAAAAAGGTGGAAGTTGAGTTGAACCAAAAGCTCTCGTGGATGAAAGCCCAGCAGGCCACCTGCTATAAGAACTTATCACTACAGTATCAGCAGGAGAAGGAAGAGTTGCTGCAGAAACATCTGCTGCAAGTGAGAGAGATGACAGAGTAGCTCGACCTGGAGAAGAAACAAAGGGAAGAGAGGGAAAAGAAGATCCTCGCATGCTGTGAACAGCCACAACTCGAGCACAGGAATTGATGAGTGAAGAGCAAGCATAGCTTTGCAGGTCCTTTGCCCTTGAGAAGGAGAAGTTAGTTAGAGCTCACCTATAGGAAGCAGGTGGAAAGCCTTGCCTGGGATGCAGAGATGCTGTGACCCAGCAGTGGCAGGTGGTGAGCAGGACAGTACAGGTGGCCCCATACCTCTCAATGCAGGCATGAGGGAGCAGCCTTGCCATGTAGATGCCAAGCAGAGCCCAACCCCTGCCCTGGCAGCCAGAGTGCCTTCGAAGAGCCTCGGCCACAGCCTTGGTGAGATCAGTTGGGATGTGCTCGACCCCAAGAAGGTGGGTTTTGTTCCCACAGGAAGGTGGTTAAAGGTGCATCCATGTGGAGTGGTTGGGGGAGCAGTCCGGGAGAACCTACTGCCTTACGCTGGTGGCCGAGCCGGCCCAAGCCACCCAGAAGCCCAGCAGCTGCTCTTGGGAACTGAAGGAGATGCCTCGAACACTCAGCCCCAGAGGGTGGTCTGGGGGAAGACTGAGAGGCAGCAGGCTATTCTTGAGGAGCAAGCTGGGAACCCAAGCGGGTAGCTGGTCCCTGAGGCAAGCCTTGGGGCAGGCCTCAGAGGAACAGGCCCCGTGTAGCAAGAGCACCCTGGAGTGGAGG